GTTGAGTATCAGAGTGTTCCATCTCGTTTCCCTTTGGGGTTGCTGTAGGTGATCCAGAAGTCTGTTTTTGAGGCTTGTTTACGTGTCTTCTCATTTCCATGTGGGGTGGGTGGTGCTTCTGGCGCCCTCGAGGCTCACCTTCTCTGCCCTAGGAGCTTGGGATGGCAGCGGGGGGAGCTTCCTTCTGGGTGCTGGGACTGGCTCAGCTTCTCTGCCCTCGGAGCCTGGGATGGAGGTGGGGAGCTTCCTTCCGGTGCTGGGACCAGCTCACCTTCTCTGCCCTAGGAGCTTGGGATGGCAGAGGGGGAGCTTCCTTCTGAGTGCTGGGATCAGGTCAGCTTCTCTGCCCTAGGAGCTTAAGATGGCGGCTGTGAACTACACATTTATTCCCATTCTCCTACCTACATTTTAAATGCATGTTATGTTTTGTATTTATGAGTTTTCTTTCCTCAAGAACAGAAGACATTCCCACACTCTTTCCATTAACCCAGCACTCAAATGCTAATATCATTTCAGAACTAATTTCATTTAAAAACAACACTGTGTTACATTCCTTATCAAAAGTCATGAGGGCTCAAAATATATTTTGCTTTCTTATTTTTTTCCAAGACTTCTTTTGTCCCTTGTCTTTTTGTTTTGTTTTGGAGCCATTTGTTTTTCTGCACTACGTAATGTACAATTATCCCATTGTTCACATGATGAACAGGATGTAGCAGAGTCTACTCTTTTGGAATCTGAGCTGCCTACATCTGACCACACCTCTCTGGCTCCATTTTTTATGAAAGACCCCTTTAACCTGAAGACAGACACTGCTGTGGACCATGGGGGCACCAGTGAGGGCTGATTGGTCTGCACTGGTCACTCTGCCTTGTGGACCTCCATGGATCCATCTCCTGTACACTCAGCCACTGGGCTGCACCATATTGGTTACTGCACACATCTTTTCCTTTCTGAAGAATTCTTCAAACTGCCCACCTGCCAATGACATTCTTTCTTGGTTCTCCAAATTGTTGTGCATCTCTTACTTTTCACACACTATCTTTTGTATTATGTGATGAGATTTGGGTCTGGGAAGAAAAGAGACTCATGTGCTTTTTCAGCTCTTAAACCAGTACAGCTTTAAATTGAATAGCAGTGTATTAGAGGACACCGACGTCAGCCAGGTGTGAAGTTTTGTTGTAATTTTCATTAGCTTTCCAATTAATTAATTGTCTGAGTAAGGAGTATTCAGAAAGAGGCAAATGTTACCAGTGCTTCACGATGCTCCCTGTCTGTCTAGAGACGACACAGCCACCTGGGCCCCAGCACAGGTTCTCTGGCCCACCCTGTGCCGACTCCAACAGAAACCACCATGGGCCACTCACTTCCATTCCAGCCCTGTCGCACACGAGTCAGCGCCACCTTGGACTGAAGCTTGTTTTTCCTATCCCTGAAGTAGCTGCTCCCCTGGGCTCTACCTTCACATCACCCCTGCCGCTAATAGTCTGGAAATGCCCGCCTTGTTACAGAGTTTCTAATGAGCTCATCAAAACGGTGAGCTGGACAAGGAGAGGGCCTGAGGACTCAGCCTGGACACCCTGAGGAACCTAACGAGGCTCGGCTGGCAGCAGCTCCCAGGGCGCACACCCAGCTGAACTGCAGGCACTAATGAGCCCTGGCTTCCAGCCCTGCCTCAGGCAGCCAGTTTAGCGAGCTGCATCCCCAAAGGATTTCAGACTGCGAGCATCTGCAGAGTTAGGCCTCAGCATGTGCAGACCAGGTGAGCAACCTGCCCTTCTGAGAAGTCCGCCACCTGTCTAACCTGTCAGAACCCTGGGGTCTAAATAGCTCAGTGTCACAGGAGACTCAAATCAGAGACTTGGACCCTCCATATAGGGAGGAGGCATGGACAGAGTGAAATTTGATAAGCTGTGTAAACTCCGATGATGTCAATTATAAAGAGAAAAGACAAAAATGAATAAAACAATGTGAAGGGACACTAACATGTATTATAGAAATAATGGTATCTGGTGCTCTTGGTGCCTAGTGAAACATCCACTCCCTGTCTTATCTGGGTATTATTTGCCTGCCATGGCAGAGACTGAGGGCAGATTCTCCCTCCAGCTTCCCATGCAGCTGGGGCACCTCTATTCAGTACAGCTGAGCCCAAGGAGACCAAGGGACATACCTGGGAGAAACTTTCCTCAGGATAAGAAGTGAGAGGGTGCAAGAGACACTTTACAGGACCAGTAATCACTCCGTCCTCCATTGCCTTTTATTGTGCTGCACCGGATCCCAGTTATGAGC